AAGTCTGATAATTACACTGGGAGAAGAAACAATGTTACAGCAGGACAGCGGCAGTCGCATAACGGGGTAGAAGAGGTCTCCATGTATTTTGCCCTCTTCTTTATCACTTCTAATCATAAGGTGCTTTTCTTTTAATATTTCCTAAATAAGAAGGAGAATTAATAGAATGTCTCGCACATCTATCATGCATATATGCTTGCCTCAAAACAGTTTCTTCTAATCTGTTTCAGTTGAGTAAATCGCTTGGCGATCGCCTAATATCAGGATATTAAATAATTATAAAAAATAATTAAAATCAGGATTTGGGGCTCACTAAAATTAGGGGCAATGCTGGAGCAGTAGTGGTACGTTAAAATCGCTTCGCCAGGCCTTATATTATAATCGGAGATGGTTTAGGAAGCGGATTCATGGCGCTCCCCACCATTTCTCCGATGTTGGCGCTGATTTTTGTTTCATGTGTATCTAGTTCATTTACACCTAATGAATGTAGAGTTATGTACAGTAATCAAAAGATTCTTACGAAAGATTATTGTATAGTCTTTGAGTACAAAACATTCGGTCTAAGTAATTTCATTTATTTGTGCATTGGTTTGATTTTGTGTACCTACAGGTATCCCCACTTAAGCCTAAAAGTTGTCAGTTTGACTCAGGCCGATGTCAAATTACACTTTTTACTAACTTACGATGTTGGAAATTCGGATATCAAATCTCATTTTATCAAAGAGACGGCGGTAGGTAGTACTCTCTCCTTACCACCTTGGATTGAAATATACTCAGGGAAATGTGGGCATGCTAGGTTTTGCGTTCTCAAAAGATACCGACTTAGGATAATAAATGTATATACATATATACGGTAAATATATACATATACATAGATGCATACATTGCCTTCTATGTATATATAATATATACATATACTAAAAACAGTACTGCGACAACAAATAGAAATCTGCATGAACTCAGGAGGTTGAGTTTATTTCTGCATGGTGATTTCAGTCTAACTAGACGGATTCCGTAGTATTGTAACTAAGTTTTAACAAGCGTTCATTACTAGTCTCGTAACTGCGTCTGAGTTGTTTATCTTCCTTTTCAAAAAACATTATTTTTAAAAATATTTGTTGAAAAGGTAATTAAGTATAATTGAAATACTTCAATATATATTTTACGTACTGAAATAAAAAGTTTATTAAGTATAAAAATCCCATTAAACTATCATAGAAAAAATACATATCGTTTGTAAAAATATAAGCTGTTCATTGGGACCTCGTAAATACTACTAAACGACATTTGTTCAGTTCCTTTCATTAAAAAACCAAGCTATTGACTATTGATATTAAACTTTATTGATCAAATAAGGAACCATCCAGCAAGCACATCATTCATTATATCGTTTTTAGTAAAGATTTCTTTTATATGGTTCGATATAAAACAGTTTTCAATAAATTTTATATTTTAAATGACCGAGTAATAAGTATTAAAAATACCATTGATTAAAAAACTGTCATTTCTTGAAGTCGGATAAATAGACTTTACTCTTAATTTCCTGTTCCACCTTTGAGATTAACGTGTACCTAGATATACTTTATGTCACCTTATTAGTTCTTGTTCTCAGTCTGAAAATAATAGCTACACATACTTTTGCTATAAGTATTTTATTTATTTATAACACTTTTTTCATACAACGGTAGTCGCAAACAAGCATATGGCACATCTGATGGTAAACGGTTACCGTAGCCTATGAATGCCTGAAACACAAGGAGAGTCACGTGCGCGTTGCAGAATAAATATTGTAAGGGCATGAGCAAAATTGCGAATAAAACTATGTACAAACAGCAGTGATATTGCTAAAGCAATCTCTTTCTATCAACCTGTGGCAAGAAAGTAGGTATATACAAAAATAATGTAGGTGGTAATGTGGCGCATAAGTTAAATTAGTGAACAACACAAAAATACACATACACAACATAAAAAAATAAAAATAATTGTCATATACCTGCAATATACTTTTATGTAAGACAGATTTTAGCGAAAGTACGGTTTAAGTAAAATATTAATAATAAATTAAGTACTAATTAAATACTTATATTAGATATTTTAAGTTCTTTTTTATAATAAGCTTTCTTATAAACAAAATAATAAAATCGAAGTGTAAACACTTTCCATTTGAAGCTTTGTGTTTTATCATTTTACTTTAAACGGCTAAAGGAATTTGTATGAAATTTTCACAGATAAGTCGTTAAATATCAGCTTCGACTTACATGCTAAAAGAAGCTGATGAAAATAGCACTTAAAGGGGTGAATAATACATAATTTTAGTACGTCATTTACTATTTTATAAATTATTAATTCATTTTATTAATGAATAATAGACGGAATAGATGTTTCTTTTATTATACAAAGTTGCGGGTAACGCTAGTTAATGACAAAGTCCTGGATCTATTTTAATTTAGATTCAAAAGTGGAACAACTTACCAGTCCATGTCCACGTCCATGTACGAAACTAAGTTAGAAAACATATACCGTCTACACTCGTACATTTGTATATAAACGTCTCAAGTCCTAATTGTTTTAAAAGCTGTATGCTAATTATACCCTACTGAAATCCTAAGCGAAGTTCATTTAGCATACACGTCCTGTAACTTTAGCATCCAGCGAGCAGATAACATAATTATTAGTTGGAGTTTGATATATGAATAACTAATTCGTCGCCACTACAAGTCACGACAGCTTAATATTAATGACAGATTTCTTTCTTTTCTTGTAACGAGCTCGTTGGTCACCTGATTAAAATGACGACTATGCATATTACGCCATTCTTATGCCTAGCTATTCATAGTATTCTAGGTATCCTTCAGACTAGAACACTGTTTAAAAAACAACCTATCAAATGTCAAGATATAAGGTACCTACGCAGACAACTTACTCTGCGCCGGTACAGTTTAAATTGTTAAATATTTGATCTATACAAACAAACAAACTCGTAGTCAATTATAACTTTGCGTTAAAATAGCATTGAAATAGATACAACAAAAAGTACACTTAGGTATACATACTTACTTACCTCAGCAACAGGAATAGCGCCATAAAATGTACTCTATAGTGTTAAATTAGCATAATTATCATAATAGCAATGTAAACTTTAACCTTTAAAGATAGTAACAAGCATTATTTATTTATTTCAGTAAGTACTTTACACTATTATTTATAGGGCAGTTGTTAATTTTTTATTTGAATAGCTACTACGGAAACTTATACAAAGTATCCAATAACTAGAAATGTACATAATAGTGTAATTATAAAACTAAAGCATATACACAATTCATAATTTCAATTAAACATTCTTGTAAGTCAACATCATGTATAACAAATCAAAGTATCAAATTACCTATTTATTAGCATTGAATACTAAATGTATTTCTACTTTTTGTCGATAATGAAGTGAACCATTATATTGCCAAGCTAGCGAAAATTCTTAGCAAAGGCGAGAACAACAGACGGAAATGATTTGTAGGAATAGGCAGAAGTATAAATTTAAGAATATATAAGTAATTAATAATTACATGAATAATTTACAACATTAGTACAGTTGTTACTCCTGTATATTCCATGATTTCTAATAGGTACTACTTGTTTATTGTAATAATTGCATTGTTAAATAATACAATTTTATTCAATAGATGCGATTTCCACGGACGCGTATCAGCTGGACCACACTTTAAAATGGAAAAATTATGTATGTTATGTTACAATGACTTCGTTATAAATGTTCCACAGTTTATAGAACATCTTCGACGAGCTCTGCGAGTGATGATAGTTACTACTCGCCGAGTATTAAAGCATCTTATATGGCTCTACTAGTATTATATATTATAAATATCTTGTATAAGTAGTAGTGTTATAAGTATCTCGTATTAACGCACATATAAAAGTATACTTTTGATTGATATAATATGACTTTTGATTGAATATACACGACAAAGCAATAAACTCAGAAAGGTTTCAGACACTCATAATTATGACATGCTAAATAAATAAAATATCCAGCTGCAGAATCTAGGCTGTACATAGGCGTGAGTCTATAAATAAAGTAATTAATCTATTGTATGAATAATATAAAAAGGGCTACAAATGAATTTTTAAAGTAAAATACTGAAAATACAATTTTACTGTGTTATTTTATCTTTTAGTTCTTATTTTTAATAATCTTTTTATACATATAATTTTGCAGATATTTTATTAATTAATGATTTGTTTATTACAATTAGGCTGTTTAATTTACTTGTATTTTTTATTTATAAAGAAATATATTAATATATTTTACCTGCTACAATTTATTAATGTTATAATTTTATATAATCAGTATTTTAATATACCGTTTAAATAGTGTAGGTATATGGTAAATGACGTACCTATTGAACGCATCCATACATATTTAATAAGTACCTATACCTAAAATACCACCATAGCTACACAGTCTTCTTCCAATAAATTTTTCATAATAGTTGAACAGTGTATTAGGCTCAAAAAATATTTATTTGTGAAAGTTTTGAATTTCTGGAAGGAGATCAAATATATATTTTGGTATCATATTGTTCGATTTAAATAAGTAGTTTTACATGGGTAAGTAAATACATTTCACTATAATTTGAAAATTATTAACTACTAAATAATAAAATACTGTTAATAATATAAAAATAATAGGAAAACAAAACCTATTGCAATTTAATTTTAATAAGTAAGTTGTAACGAATGCTATACCATATTTTTCCACGTAACTAAGTGCTGAATAATATTGTGCTAATAAGAACGGATGCCCAAAGCTTACTGCGAGTTGCAAGTATCCAGGTGCTTAGTAAACAGTTTTTTATTTTTATACTCTTGATGATAAGGAGTAGTGATCATTTGATAGGTATAGATTCCGCCGTGTGGAGCTCCGCGTTCTCGGAACGCTGTAAGCGTATCCCTCCGCCGCCGCGTCACTCTCCACACGCTTTTCGCCATTCGTCAATCGTACTCAGCCGCTCGCAGTCTGCACTCGCACTGCAGCGGCATTCGCGACCACTACCACTACATCTCCGGACATCATACTTCTTCCGTATCCCTCCCATACATTACCCTAATGTCATGGGTCCAGTACGCCTTTTTAAGTATTTAATACTTTTTAATTTATTTTTTTTGGTTTTGTCTAATCACATTTGCCCACCCAAATGTCAGTGCGTCCGAAATGCAGCCCGATGCTTACAACAAGAGTTGGTGACCATACCGAAAGCTTCACCCGAAACGCATACGCTGTAAGTATTTACTTTATAAGTTTATCCTAAACTTTTTTTGTACTTTATACTCATTCCAATTATAACTTCTAGTAAGTAGAACTTTATAAATAAACGTGCGATTTTGTGTCAGTGTAAGCGAATATTTATGTTGCGAAATCATCGCTGTGGTATGGTGATAATAAATTTAAAGCTGAGCGTCGATTCTTTGTATTTAACAGTTTACATCAACGATCATTATTGTAACAGCAAGCGTCATTTATTATAACTAAACCGAAGACTGTATGATTTAAGCAAGATATGTGGAGTCTATATGTTACCGTACACACATTGAAATATCAGGTAGAACTGGTCTGACAACATTCAAATGTTTCTAAACCCCTGAAAGTTTTGAGCTATGTTTAATTATTTAATAAAACAAAAGTTTTGGTTTACAGACCTACAAACAGCGTTACCTATCGTGTCGAAAGGATGATATAAATAGAAGATGCTATTTTGGTGTATAGAAACAGATGGTAATGATTTGTTTAGGTATTGTTTCCATCATCCGAACGTAATTTATTTCGGACAAGAAACGTTTAAGCGCTCTACTCTGTATTGTATATATACAATATACATAAAAATAATAGTGTTCAATGTGTTCGTCCTCCTTATGAACTATATTCTCCCAATTTTAGTCAAACTTTAACAAACTGGGTACTCTAGCGAAGGTTCCTGATCAAATAAACATCGTATTTTTGTCCTACTTCTTTTGGACTATAAATAAAAAAAATGTTTTTATATCAAGCCTCTATACATTCCTACAACATTGATATAATTGTGATGGAACTTTAGCAGGGTAGGTAAGACAAGGATTTCTAGCAAAACATATTTTTTTTCATGTCACGTTTAAGGTCTAAATATTACCTAATATTATTTATATTGTTTCATATTCGTATACTTTATGTAACGGGCTTTACAGAAAATATATTCACATGACAATGCAGACAATAAAGTAATAAACAGAGATTTAATCATTATGGTATTGACATATAACGACCACAATAAAATTCAGATTAGAGATTTATACTTTTAGAATGTAAAAAATGATTTGAAAAACATTATGTGGTATTACAAAGTATGCCGGGGCACTTAGTTTTATACATTAACTGGTATTATATATATTCCCTTAAGTAATATATGTATAATAATTAGTCCGACATAAAATGCAAGTGAACCATACAATTACAAAATGATTCATCGCAAACGGGTTCTTATTATATTATTATACATGTATAGAATATATCTGGCAATTCTTTGATAGTCGGTTGGAAAATAAATTATCTTCATGAAACACGCTGCAGTACATATTAAGATTAAGATATTTCATAAGTGGATAAAAAATCCAAGAAATGCAAGCAATAATTCTTTTCTCCTCGTATGACGTTTGTATGCAGTGCTTCCTCAACAGGTTATTACGAAATACTTCAATGTTGGATTTTTAAAAATGCATTAAAATGAATTATAAAATATCTTAAGTCGTTTAAACAAGTATGTGTAATGTTTTTTTTACGATTGGAAGTTGATTTTTCAATAGATATATAAATATTTTAATGCAGTTGTTACAATTATTTTAATGATAAAATAAAAACTAAGGTTTACATAGTCCTGAAGGAGGTCTTGTAAAGTACCAATCCGTCGCGAAAAATTCTGTAAATAACTAAAAGAAACCGGGATAAGTTACTATTTTCATAATAAATTACTTGCTTATGCCGGTTACTGTTTATACAATACTAGCTACTTTTATGCCCGCGATTTCACCCGCGTGAAATTTATGAACTATATACGTTCTGATACGTGAAAGAGTAACAAACACCCATCCGTCAATCTATCCATCCATACTCACAATCTTAGGCATATAAGACTTATCTTAAGTAAGATCATATATAAATAAATAAAAGTAGTAGAAATATTATTATTAATATTTCGTCTTCCGCAAGTAAACCATCAAGTCAACCAACCTTCTTGTCAAATAGAGATCAAATTTATAATGATAATAATTTATTCATTTATTAGAATTTGGTAGGTACAATAAGGCATTAGTAATTCTAATTTTATAAAAATAGGTATCATCATATACTGCTATTATTTTTTAGTATAAATATTCTTTAGGTACAAGCATTAAAAAATATATTAAACATCCTAAACATTAAATAATTAGAAGTTCTCAGTTTAAAACATATGATAACATATATTATGTGATAACATATATTGTGTAAAGTAAGACCACAAACTTTACCAGCACGATTATTCATTTTCATTAAAGAATTCATTCATTGATTAATAACATTTTTCAAGATGATAATACAAGCAGGGAATCATATAAGAAGCACTAAATTAAAAAAAAATTATCATCATATACACAATATAATAATCATGTACGCAACGATCTGAGTTAACACAGATAAAAAATATAGTCAAATTAAGAACCTTATTTCAATTTTCGATGTCGGTTGGAATTTTTGACACAACAGTATAAAGACTATTTCAAAATGTACTTAAAATAGTTACAAAAATATCAGGTGATAAAAGAACGGGAATTTCGCTTATTATATATTAAATATATATTGAGATTAAATAGAAATAAGATTGCATTTTATTATATCTACTTTTAAAATTAGGCAGCCTATGCTGGAACATTCACAGACTTGTGAAATGTGGCTATGTCGCCGAAATGGATAACAGAAATAGATTGTAAAAAGAAAGAGTTGTCTAGGGTTCAATTTTTAATATATATGCGGAATACCGCAAATTTGCGAATATAAAGTATAAAAAGTATATTCAATAACAAATTCCACATAAAAGTGAAATACAACATGCAATTTTATAAAATATAATAGTGAAAAAATAAATATATAAAAAGATAGAAGCGAAATATTGGGTGGGCATATTGGGTGGGGTGGAAACCACAAATACGATTATATTACATAGTGGAAACAAAAAGTTAAATCCATTGCGTTGAAAATTATATAATAGTAGCTTATATATATGATAAAACTATTAACAAAGTATATTTTCTGCTATTGAAAATCCACTAAATAGCAAAATATATTAACTATTAGAAATTGCAGAAATATTGTTTGTATTCAAAAGCACCTTGCCCTGATTCTAATTGTAATAAGTTACATAATAGCAAACGGAAATAACCGCCTGTTCTTAGTAGGCATCGTAGAAGAAGAAATAATTATAATATGATACCAATTTATGAACCATAAAATAAATGTATTATTTTATGGTTTTTGTGTCAATTATACAATTCAAGTCTTAAAAAACATTTACACACTTTGTTAGAAATTTCAAGAAAAATAATGATTAAAATAAAAATTAATAATAATTCATAATTTTCAAACAGAGAACTCTGTGTTCCTTATGATTGTCTTTTGTTTTTATTTCTCTAAATTTTGTTAAATCCCAGATTATAATTTAATTATGTATTATAAAAATTATAATTTCATTCACAATTTGGTGTTTTTGAATTATTTTCAACGATTACATACATACTTTTTATTTAATCAATTTAGTTTAACATAATTAATTAGGTATTAGTCCTACAGTCATTTAATAAAACGACATTATAATTAAAAAAACTAATCAATTACATATGTACCTAGTTTGTTCGATTACATTTATCTGTACTTATTAATATGGTACTTTTATAAATTTTTTATTTTGTAAAATTTGGTCACACTTCACCTTTTTTTCGTTAATTTCTTTATCAATGTTATCATCATGCTTGTTTTCTATCACACACATCTCACTTAGAACAGATCAATTTCATTATATACTGTAACTATTAAGCAACATTTGCGAGAATCATCACGCTTACTACGTACAGAAAATTTTATTAAATATTAAATATATAAATATAGGGAAATTTATTGATGTTGTCTTACATATTTGCTAATACGTATATATATCACGTGTAAGTATTAATTCTTCAGCAACTATGCTGAGATATTCTCAGCATAGTTGCCACGAATTCAGGAATATTGCAATAGGACGAACAGGAAATTGCAATCTGTTTATAGGTATAACATAGTTCATTGTTTCGGTATTAGTTCCTTGTTTAACATAAATGGAACACTAAGTAGATGCCTGCCTTCTGAAACAAGGTTTACCTAAGTTATTTAGATATGCCAGTACCTAGTCTCTTACTTAATACAATATAACAAGGTAGCTGCAACTATTTTAACCAAAGTATTGTCTATCAACAATGTTATTTCAACCGCGGAATTAGTTTCGATATTCACTTAAAACAGAATATGTAACTACACATAAATATGTTCACTAAATACAAGTTGTAACAGAAATGTATTTTGTATTTGCAATCTGATTCTGTGTAGATATTTGTTGATAATATGTGTATATATATATATATACTTATATATGAAATACCTACATAATATTAATATTTCTTTTGCTTTTTGAGCGTAAAACGTGTAAAAGCCGCTAAAAATTCAATATTGCAGCATCCATTTTTCTCTACAAATGCTCACTGAAAAGCGATATTTTATAATTTACAAATAAATTTATACATTCATATTCATATAAGTTATAAGTCAAAAAGGATTGAATGTACCTGCTCGTGTTGAATTTTATACAAAAGGAGTATTAACTTCAATAAAATAACTAGCAGCATTACACGGCGGTACTTGCTTAAAATATAGTTAGTAAAATTTACCACAGATGTTACTCAATGAAGTTGTAGCTTTCCATGGGTTTTATATGAGTAAGTACCTCTTTTTGTTATGACTCTGTATCTGTGTATTTATAAGTCTTTTTTAACGAAACGTCTTAATGCGTTTTTTTTAACAGCTGACACGATCAAGATCGTTCTTGACTATACTTAAATTAATTACAAATATTAGTTTATGGAATATCTCTATATATACATACAAATAAATTTAAATTTTTGATCTAAGGGGTTAATTAGAGACCGTACACTATTCCCCTTAGCATTGTGACATATGTAGCACTGTCGATTAATTTACTAAGACACAAGCCTGCGCGTTCTAAGAAAACCCCTTTTGCTGTGGCTACGGAATTCCAGAACACGTCCTTTACCATCTCTAAGAGTATTGGGATTCTCGGTGTCGACATCTCTAGTACTGTTGATTTCCGCTGTCACCTGGAAGAAAAGGTAAACTTGGTGTCCAAGAAACTCGGTGTGCTCAATAGAGGGAGCACCTGGATACCAGCTCGGTCCTTTTTACTTTGTTCAGAGACGTGCTATGAGAATTGTCGATGATCCCAATCTCTCTGGCGGTATCGAGCCACTTAGCTTGAGGCGAGACTTTGCTTCGCTTTGTGTGTTCTACTGATTATACAACGAACTGTGTTCTGAGGAATTGTTCGACATGATGCCGACGGCCACCTTTTACCACCGCACTGCTCGCCATCGACAGGTAATTCATCCCCACACACTGGAACCTAAGTGGTCTCGAACAGTGCGGTTTCAGAGAAGCTTCCTCTCGCGTACACTTAGATTGTGGAATGAACTTCCTGCCGAGGTTCTCCCACGAGACGACAGCATGAGATTTTTAAGAAGGATATATTAAGGTTACTTATGGGTCGTCAACGCGCACGTGATACCCCTGGTGTTTCAGCCGTTCATAGGCTAAGGTAACCATTTACCATCAGGTGGGTCGTATGCTTGATTGTCACCAATAATATATATAAAAAAATTATTATTTATAGATCACCAATAAAGTTTAGGTATACATATGTTACATTGGAAGCTGAAATAGTGGCCGGGTCTGCAGATACAATTGCTTTTTGATTGCAATTTGCAGTGTATTTCAATCTTGACAACAAAGAAAATGTTCGCTATCCTATTATGCACATGTCATTAGCAGACTACCTCCTCGTACATGTTGTGGGTTTATTCTCCGGTCCTCTGCACACCAATGAAATAACAACATAACGTTTTCATTGTTGGAACAAGCTATGAACCTATTGATTTCTATTTATATCTGTATTGTAAATATGTATCCTATAAAGAAAATTTATACATATAAAAGACAAAGAATGTCAAGTTTATCATATCTATCCAATAATTTCATTAACGATTAAAGCGGACTAAAAAATTATGTCATAAAAAAACGTACCCGAGTTTTTTTCCAGTTCTTCGCAACTGAAGTAGCTAACCAAACCGATGATGTATGACGTGCACAGTGCACAGGTCGAAAGGTCTGATGTTAATAAATGATATTGAGTTTGTGTTTCAGTTCGGCCACAGTCCTAACAGCTCTTTAATGAAGCCACTCGTTGATGGCATCGATTCCAATAAGCAGATGCTATAAGTAGTGCGGGTGTCATTAAATTTTCATTTGCTTCTAAATTAGAGTACGAATACAGAATTAGTGATTAAGTATGCGTTTCCTAACGTACGTATCGAACTTTGTTTGGATGTTAATAGGAGTGTACCTATCTATAGTATCATCTGTGGTCATCACGGAAAGATTGCAGGACTTACTATGTCATAAAATATGTACCTACATGAAATTTCGAGTATAGGTCGGTTAATTTAGGAATCAAACTGTTCTAAGGCATATTGTTAGACAATTCTCTTCTTTTAACGACATACGGCATATGTTAGCTAAATTATTACTATTTTTATTCCGTAGTAAGTAAGTTCAATAAATTAAAATATAAATGTGTGTATCTCTGAATACATTTTATACACACTCGGAATTCGTTATCGTGTACGCTTGAATAATTTAAATATTTTCAAATAAAATCGTGTACTGTTTGAAGTTCAATAAAATATTCTGATTAATCGAGCGAACCACCCACTTTTCAACCTACTGCACTGAAATAGTAGCAATACATATTTAATACGTCAGAGATTTTACATTTTGTAAAAATTTCTCCCTCCTGAGAGGGTAGTTAGCTGTAAGTTCAAAGTATGACCCGGGGATTTGGGTTATCCGGCTACTACCTCCCTAGTAGTGAAAAAATTACATAATAATGCAAAATAGGGTCTCGAGTACTTACTTTATTATTTTTTGAGGATCACGGGCTGAGAATCCTTTTGACTTCGTTATTTCAAAATCATGTTTAGGACAGCCCTAGGAACTAGGTCCAAACGACCTGACGCAACCCTATAGGTTATAATTTGAGGTTCGTGGCCGTGACAGGCGACCGCAAGAAGGTAGGAGGCTGCGACACATGACATATCTGCTATGAACACAATTATGAACTAATAACTTAATATCCCGATAGGTATAGACGGAGCCCAAAAACGGATTTTGAGACCAACATTTTATTTAAGTTAAAACCCAAATGCACAAATATATAATTTCAAAAATATACTTATTTCGTTCGACATTATAGTGGTATTTTATATTTATATTTGACCATCCTCTTTGTGAGTAATTACCTAATCCCAGTTTTGGTTAAGACGGTTAGTTTTGTTAAATATACACTATTATATACTTACTTTATCCTACGGCCACCTATCCTATCCATCCCATTTTACTAATTTTCTGATAAAATTGCATCAAACATAATATAAATAATATAACTGTGAAAACGTAAATGTGTAGACTAGCCTTTGATGCATCTAAAGCTGCAAAGTATACTTACCTGTAGTTTACCTCGTCAGAGACTTTACAAGTGTACATACGCTATAAAATGTATAATCTCTGTTATAGTTGTCAACTTGTTTATGTATTCAGGTAACTAACTCCATTGCATGGAATCTAAATAAAAAGTTTAATAGATAGGAAATGTTACATTATAATAAAAGTTTGTTGTATTAAAATTTATGACGGTACTATGGAAACTGGTTAATCATTTGACAACTGCAAGTTTTTCACGAGCTGATTAATACAGGACCTATTTTGTACGCCCTGCTTGTTGATGTCGACCTTGGTGCGGTTGATTATTGTGCATCCTCTGGAGCATAACTAAGGAGCGCCTGGCCAAACCCGTGTTGCTAGGTCCTCAACAATGAGTTTGCAGATGCTATCAGTGACCCTGTCATACATAAACAGGTCACAGTGGCGAAACGTTTTATAGTATTATAAAGACTAGAGCTGTTTATATAAAACGTTCTTGAAAGAATTAATACGCATATATTGCTTACCCAAATATTTAAACAAAATATGATAAATCTTCGTTATCACTGAATTTATAGACCTTACTACTAATGCGATAACATCATAACGTAGGTTACTGACATATACGTGGTAGATATACTCGTATACTACAGTAATTATAGTTGGACATTATAACAGCTGATTGTGAACTAAAAATACATTTCTATGTCAAGTATTTAAAGAATATGCAGTCATACCTACCCATCTTACGTTTTTTTTATTTTAAAAAGCAACGGTCTGTAGAAGGTAGTATTCTGAAATGATCGAATTACTAAATTAAAATATTTCTAAGTCTTTTAAGATACATTGCTGTACTTATAGAACAATTATTCCTGCATTTTATTCTAAAAATATACACTGTCTAAGTACCTAAGACCTTATTGTCAAGAATTGAAAGTGGTGATATAAGGGCGATATATATATATAAATTTAACAAGAAAGTTTGTATATTATTGTTTAATGTTTATAAATTATTATGTGTATAGAGAAGAAGCATTCGAAGCCTATTAAATGCAAATAATGATTTTTTCCATTTTATAATATTAGTATATCCGGCGTTAGTATTGAATATGTTGTCATGAAAATATTTTAGTTCGTATATATTAATATTTCATAAGGATTTTTTTTATTTATTTCCACTTGTTTGGTTAGGGAACCCTAACGTATTCTCAAAATATTTTATTTTCGTTAAAATATTTTATCGCCTATGTTCATAATATAGGATTTCAGTGGTAAAACAATTTTTCAAATTAATGGCCACGGCCGGGTTCGATTCCTCGCATGGATTGTTTGTATCAGTCTGGGTGTTTTCTATGTACATTATGTATTTACGAAACAAAATCTAAGTATTTATTTCAGTTATCTAATACCAATAACATAAGCTCTGCTTACCGTGGGACTAGACGGCGTTGTGTTAATTGTCTAAGATTAAAAAAAATATCGGGTCACTAGTATATTCAATTAGAGTAGTCTATTTAATCCAGACAAATATTAACTATTTTCTTTCTATCTTTCTTCTTTATAATATTATTATTATGAAGAAGAATGTATATCTGCAGCAGAAGAATAGTATGTAGGAAACTTTGTTTGCGGAAATTCCAATAGGAATATTTTAATATTTTCAAATAGAAAAGGTTTGGTTCAGATTTACTTGATGTAATACACGAAAAATGTAGAAAAATTGGCAGGCAAACCCCTTCAAAGCTTAATACTTACAGCTCTAACGTACTTACACTCATATTCTGACGTATTTAAATTTCAGTGAGAATTTAACAGGAGGATAAAATCGAGCACAATGTTTGCTGCTTGAAATGTAGACTTGCCTTAGGACATGTTATGAAATTCTTGTGAATTGAATAGACTAGTCTCATAAAATACGATCGTCAAAGAGTATGACTGGTAAAATATTATATTCATTACATTAAACTAAGGAGGCCAATAAACAGTCCAACCCAGTCTTACCAACTTTTTTTACAAGAAATAAAGTATATTCAGATCTGTAAAGAATATTAAACAGTATTTTAGAAAAATGAACAGTAAATTATGTCTTTATTATTTTAAATACATATTTTGAAAGCTTTTCGCACTACTTACTACAATCTTTTTAAAAAACTTCATACGCTTACGAGGATTATAATTGAAATTAAAATAAATGAGGAGCTCATTTTTTATTAAATTAATAGATGCTCTATTTCTATCATCCCGCCACTTAGCATTTATTGCTGAAAAATCTCTTTCAGTAAATGCTGAGGTTTTGATGCTGAAAACAGTATTTTCTATACTTTATTTTTGTTAAACAGTAAAAAGTATATTTTAGTAAAAAACAGTATAGTACTGTTTAAAACAGTATAGTCGACTACCCTTTTTTATGTGGGGATAATCCCTTATGGACGGGTACTGACTAAGACTAAGACTCCTACTCACCAAAAACCTCAACCCCAGCGGTCGCAACCGCGACCCCAGCGGCTGTTGCCCTTAAGCAGGCCCTCCTCAACGCGTGAGGGAACTCTTCCCGGTTCCCCGTCTCCGCACACCGTGGGGAAGACGCACCAGAATACGGGATGCGTCTCCATCCCATCTCGGCTCATGATGTATGGACGGCAGACTTGAACCCCTGAGACTGCCACCCACACAGAGCGGCGCCCGATCCGCACGTGTCTCTCCAAGAATAGGGTCATAGCAGGAGTGGGCCATCAACGCGATGCTTAACGGCCAGGACGGGCCCCACCTGAGCCTATTGTCCCACCTGCGCCGCTCGCCGGACTATTGGCCAACATGGTAGCAGTAACCCGAAGGCATTACTACCATCCGCCCAGGGAGTACCAGAACCAAACCATTGCTCGGCTACCGTTCTCCGCGGAAGTATCCACGAGGATGTGTGACCTCCCAATGGCTGGACCGTACAAGGAGGTTGTCCGACATGATGCCCCTAGTCAGCAACCCGACTTCAAACACATCGCTGTTGCTCTGTAGATTATATTTATTTCATATTATCCACACTAATCCATGAGGGTCAGTTGTTATAAACTAGTTGACTAATAATTGGCTACTAAGATTTGTGATCATAAACCAAGTGTGTTCAAATATTTGCAGCAAATAATTAAAATAACAATAAACAATTAAAAAATTCCTTTTTAAGACTACTTATCATATAGAATGAAGTATGTACTACTACATCCTTACCGTGATGTAGTACATACTACCTACTACTAATTATTATCAATGCAAAAATGACTAAATATTACCACGGTCAATCATATTGACGCAAATATATCGATACGATGTCGAATTACTAAGCAAATTATGTAAAGGACATCAACTTTAGTTCCGCTAATACGTAAGAGCGTACATTTATACTTATATTATTTGTATACAGTCAAAATCAATAAAGTGGTAGCACTTCTATATAAAACTAAATATAGACAGTACTTGTGACTTATTAGTATTCTGCTGTAAAAAATAAGAATATCAACCAACTTCTTAGCTACTGCAATAAATTGTACATCGAGTTACGCTCGCAATATTACATTATAAATGTTGGAAACTCGCAACAGAAATAATTATTAAAACCTTTTTAGTAATATATTTAAAAATTTTCACTGACTGAGACATTTGTGTTCTCGAGAGTATGATCGTTTTTTTGTTTTTTTTATCTTTACATTATTGTTATACCGCTGATTTTATTTAATAATAATGTTTTTAATAATTACATCCACGGCCCTGGTTATGTGTATCTCAACGAGGTACGACAATTATATAATGTAATTAATGAAATTATTTAATTTAAACAAATCTTAATATAATACTAAAGTATTTAGGCCATTTATGAATTTTGTGGCGATGATGAATATTTTTAATTAGTAACTTTTATTAGTAATCATATATTGTTGCATTTATAAATATAACCATCATAATTATATAGGTATAGGTGCCTAGTAGTAAATACAATATTTATTGATTACAGAATAGAATTGTTTAATTAAAATATCATAATGTCGTCATAGAAACTCAGCAGTAAGCTTTATACAATGTAGCTCAGTTCATAATTATACCAATGAATAAAATGAATGAAATTGAAATGAAAAATAAGTATAAAAGCGGTCAAAGGTAAGTGAGTGGTAGCACCTAGTTTCCGAATTTGAAATTCGTGGAACAAAGACTGTATAGGACATAAGGTGAAAATAAACAGATTATTTCTATTTATAAACAGATTATGTTACTTATTTCGAGTAATTTTGTTTATACGTGCCTGAATATTTTAATGGTCACTCATTTTTAACTTGTACGTCCATAACACGTACCTACTACTTTTCCATGCTTGGTATATAATACCAGGCTGCTGAGAGTATAAAATATAAAATTAAATTCTATTCTGAGTTGCGTATGCACTGTGCTAATGTTAATCGTTTATGGAGATAGAGACCAGTGCCTAGTAGTGGTAGGGGATCATGTTGGGATGTTAGATGGAACATATTCTCTGGTAATTATCAACATAAAGCATTTATAGTGTGGTTACTAAAGTTTTTTATTGCAATTCACAGAGACGTCCGTTTTAACGATATCGTTGAAATAGCGCCCGGGACGTTGAATCACCTGCACCGGCTGCGTTCGTTGCTCCTCAACGATAACAAGTTGCGCGTGCTGCGTTCAGGCGTCTTCCATGGCCTCCGTCGCATCAAGTACCTGTACTTGTACCGAAACAGAATACAGCATATCGATCCCGATGTTTTTCAGGGCTTGATGCATTTGGAACAACTGTAAGTAGTCGTCTCCTGTAGTATTTATACCAATATTATAATGCTGAAGAGTTTGTTTGAACGCGTTAATCTCAGGAACCACAGGTTCGAATTGAAACATTATTATTGTGTTGGATAGTCCATTTGTCGAAGAATGCTTTAAGCTTATATACGCTACGACTAATAGAAGTGAAAAATATTGCAAAAACGGGGAAAATGACAGTTGGTTTTCGATAGATCTATATAGTTTTTGACGAAAGAAGTCGCGAGCACAGCTAGTTATAAATAATCCGAATATAGTAAAAACACATTCTGTATCTCAAACACATGTCACGTTAAAGTACGTTCGTATAAAACGAATTTAAAAAGTAGTATCATGGAGAGAGAGGATTAGTTCTGTAATTAAATTATTTTTTGAAACGGGTTCGTTCTACAAATTTATAATTTGTTTCGCGATATAAGTTTTTCATCATTAGCTTACACGATGAAATTAACTTTAGTTCATATATAGCGCCGGGGCTTCAAACTATTTTGGATTCGCGAAACGAATATATGAGTTAGAGGTTTAATTGCGTGCAGTGGCAGCATAGCATGTATTAACTCCAGCCTTCTCTATTCAGTAGTACCCAAAACAACCAAAACATATACTTCACGTGGTTAATATTTTTTCTGTTCTTCAGAATTTGAAAAAAAAATTGTGTTCTATTTCTTAGTTTTACAGAAAACAAATTAAACTATTCATTTAATAGAATTCTAAGAAACATGAATACATAATTTTTCACTTTACAATAAAAAAAAAATCTAATGATGTATGACGAACCGTCGCGTCGTCCCTTTTCCCCAGGGTGTAGATATTTAGTTTATAAAACGTCAGTATTTGCATCTGAAAATTATGACGAAATTAATATCGTCGCATAGTGGCTGTATGTCACAAATATGAAACTGGTATTACGACAGATGTAATCTAAATTAAGTTCATAGTACTTACCTACTCTATATAGTTAGTAAGTTTATTCTTTAATATTAAGAAATCGATGTTATACGTGGGCAATAAATACTTACTTCCGTTTTATTGGAGCAACTAGTAATTTACAATTCCACTTTAAAGATCTTTCATCACTGTGCTGCAAAACATTTTTCCACCCGTTTTAAATAGGGAGATGTTGAGAACGTCTCCCTATAAAGTGGGTGGAAAACTTCAACAGTATTTTTATTGTGTTACTTGATAAGTGTCGTCGCCAATTCTGAACAGATTATGTATTCTTTTTTGATCGTAAGTATACTTAAGTGTTTCTTCAACATTTTTTTTAGATTGAAGTCGATATTATTTTGAAACAATCTTATCAAGCATTTACTTCGTTTTATTTGAAATTATTCCATTTACGTTTATTTGTACCTAAACAAGCTGAAGGTCTTTGTACTGACAGAACTTCAATTATTAAACACGTGGTAATGATATGCTTACTTAGAATCACGAGTATGTCCATCGTGCTACATTTAGATTTTATTTACTGAGAAAATGATGTCATTGTCTATATAAAACAATAAACGAAGTCGTAAGTCTTATAATAAAAGCAAACTGCAAGTTGGTGCTGAGATTAATACGAGTATGTTATCGCACAACGGCTGCACTTGGGACCTAATTATAACACTGAATATGATGTATGTGACATTTATAGCATACTTTGTACCTACACATAGATACATGTTTTTTATTACCCGACTGTTAACAGAAGGAGGGTACTTAATGATTTTCGGATGTATCTGGATTCTTTTTTTTTTTTTTTTTAATTTATTTTTTTTTGGCACTTATATACAGCCTAGCCGATTATTAATAAAAGTGAACAGAATACTTTTAATTGTAGAGAATTAATAATTTACATGACGATACCATATTAATAATGCGGCTTTATAACACTTAACTGGTCAAAGTTATTTTTCCTTTATAAATATATCACAGACCAAATAAATATAAAAATATAAAAGCCTATAAATTTGTGTATATGAAAACAAACAGCCGCAGCTATATGACAGCCCTCATCAGGAATAAGCCAGTCGTGTTTGCCTTTTGATACGCATCAGTAGAAATATCAGTACATTTTGCTTTAATATTTACATATCGTTTAGTACTATTTGATTATGCAACAGTTGCAAACAATATTTTTAAAATGAAATATTAATTTCTGCATTAACATTAAAACAGAACTAACCTGAGTGGACATAGAAGAAAAAGTAGGTTTTTTCTACAGCCCTTGGTTTAAAGAGTTAAGTTAAATACAAAAAGATGGTCCTAAAACGCAATTTGCTCAAATAGCGATTAAGTAAAAAAACAATAGTATCAATTCTATTGTTCTAATTTCTGAATTTATTATAGTTTTGAAATAGTGTCGTCTATGTGAGTTAATAAAATGGTTTTGTTTGGAAGCCCGAAAAGTGATGATACATTCATGACTTTTCGGGTTTTTTTTCCGATTCTTTTAGTTGCGATGCTATTTAAACGGAGGTGAAAACTATACGGTTTTATTACACTGGTATATTTACCTCCATAATCAAATTACTTAATTTGAATTAAATATCGTAACTTTTAGCATTGCACAGTTAACTAAAATAATTGTAAATTGCTGAACTATAACAATTTATGTTTTCATAATATTTTAACAAGTTTCTATTTTAAAATATGTTTTAAACTTTATTATTAACTCATTGACAACTCTGTTATTGTTATAAAAATATGTTGTAAAACAGTTTAGATTACTTTACATTAAGATAAATATTTTAATGGTAAGCGAAAATTGACTGGTAGAAATTGCCATCAGCATCAGCATCAGCATTTATACAATACAGTCCGCCATGTATACAATATTGTGAGCAAAAGCATCAATAAATAAAATTCTTTATATGTCAACTTACTGTTTCTATTGTTACCATTAAAATATTTATCAAATTATATATATACTTATGTATGTATAAATATTTGGATAATTTATATACTTATCCAGTAAAGAATTTTACTTATTTATTCTTTTGCACACAAAATTATGTATATGCACAAATTATATGTTACAACAGTTAGCGATCAAATAGATCGATAACATAGTCAATAAAGCCGATGATATTATATCAATTAGTCAATTCGTGGCTACCCCATGTATGGTTACAGTCGTAAAGTATACTATAAATATATAGGTATATATATGTATAAATATATATTACTGTTATTCCAGATACTTGCATGTGAACGAGATTCATCAAATCGAACCGGACATGTTTTACAATTTGCCGAGACTGGAAAGACTGTAAGTATAGTATTGTTTTCAATTCACAAAGAATTAGTGTCGACTAGGTAATTTTATATTTACGGTAAAATAAAATATGACATATGTACCCTTGTTTAAAGTATCAGAATTAATATTCTTAGCGTAATTGTAAATAAACAATTACATTTAGATATGACAGTTAGGTAATTAAATATTAGCAGAAGTTATTTTTTTTATGGATGACTATGGAATGGTGCATTCGCCTGGGTTAACGGTTTACGCTAGCGGGACATTAGTGGAGGATGATAGGATGAAAATGATGTCAACTCTGTTGGCCCATTGTGACAAATTCACTAGAAATTTATTAGGATAATTTCCAGAGAGAACCGTGTGGAGGTCAACCTGAGTTAATACATTACTAGCGATTAAGGAATTAGTTCACATTGCCCCATTTCCCTCTAGCAATAGTAAATATAATAGATCTACCTAGATTAGATAGAAATGATTCTATATGGGAATTAAGGAGTTTTCAAATCGGCGTGAATTGAGGGCTAAAGGATTTTCAAGGATATGGTAAAGGGACTGACGTAAGGATTGGCATCCAATCAGAACGTTGCATTATAATTATTACATTTTTGCAGTGACTATATGAGTATGCGGGTTATATCTTATTTCAAAAGTTTTTAATGAGTTGCCTTAAGGTACATTGCCTGCCAATTACCTTCTGCATACAATTGTAGCAATAGGAAATTAACGAGTCTTATCTCTTAACTTGTGTTAATTAAGTAAGTTTAATGCCGTTAAGTCCCAGTCTTGTCTTGTTACCTCACAAACGAACACTTTTAACCTACCTCTCAATCTTCTAAAATGTATCTGCGCAATTATTATTGACATCACCGAACACTACGGCTAAGAATTTCTGATGAGATATTTTGTTGTTTTGTACGTTTTGGGGAGCGAAATTTAACAGACGAGTTTTAGTGCTTATACCTACTTATTTTTAAATAAGTTGCATTTCAGTGAATGTGCTTAGTTAGGTATTCCGTGATTTTACTTTTTTTATATTTTCACCGTCATGTCGTGGTTCTCTACATCTTATTGTAACGGTAGAACCGTTACAATCTTACTCTTAACGTCCTCGCTGCTCGTACCAAACGCTTTGTAGGATGTAAATAAAAGCGGACACCAGCTTAGACCATATCGTCATTCAATTTAAGGCGCTAATATGCAAATTAAAAATAAATTATTCTTATATTTTCAGATATATGCACAACAATTTGTTGAAAGGGATTCCGCCAGGATCATTTAGAGATTTGCCAAAATTGCGTAAACTCCGTTTGGATAGCAACGCCCTGGTCTGCGATTGTTCCATGTTGTGGTTTGTTGAGATGTTGTCTTTGCATAAAGATATGGAAATCGCGGCTACGTGTTACGGACCAGATCATGCTACTGGAATTCCTTTGGCCGCCATGACTGGAAAAGACTTCAATTGCCGTGAGTGTCTCAAAATATAATTTTATTCCGATACTATCATTTAAATTGATTTCAAATAAAAAAAAATACTTTAACTGTAAGTCTGTTAAAGTATATTTTTTTTATTTGAAATTAATATTTTGCTTTACTAGTTGATACTGTCCGGAATATTTTTTTAAGTATTTAATTTTTTTTATTTATATACTGAAATATGAAACCCGTAAGAATTTTAAGAAAAACTGTGGTGGCCGTGCATCTTCTGCCACCTTAACTTTTTAAAGATAATACGAGTAATATGCCGCATAAGTTAGGTAGACAGCTACATTGTTTCTGTTTCTTAGACTTACCACAAATATATTCAACTTATTAAAGCGTTTTAATGATCTCACACTTATTTTTACACACTCTTCTGATTTCAGGTCACCCTAAGATAGAGTTAGGCCCCGAAGATGTGACTGTTAACTTTGGAGAAGATGCTATGTTTAGTTGTGTTGCTAATGGGGACCCAACACCTGAAATTGTTTGGTACCGTGATTCCTCTACACTGCCATTAATTACAAATCGATACGAAGTAATGAATAACGGAACTCTGATGGTTCACGACGCTGACGAATCTGATCTTGGGTACTTTGAATGTCTGGCTAAAAATGCTGCCGGTGAAGCGCGCTCTAGGCCTGCAAGAATGATTATCCAATCACAACCGGATGACGATGGTAAATTTTATTTGCTTAGGTCGAAAAATTGTCTCAATCTTGGCTACAATTGCATGTCTGTAATTATAAGAATAAATATTAAATATCATTAACTATACCTTTTTTGTTTAGGTACACCGGTGTTTAGTGTAGCGCCTCGAAGGCAAATTGTTAAAATTAACCAAGCGCAGGTTATTTTTGACTGTATTGCTAAAGGTCACCCTAGACCACACTTATCGTGGTATTTCAACGATGGGAGGATACTTTTAAGTGAACGTAATTCAATTGCATCTAATGGGTCTATTATTATACGTAAAGTCCAAGAATCTGATGCAGGTTCTTATAGCTGTCAAGCTGAAAATATAAACGGAAAGATTACAGCATCTGCAGACTTAGAAGTGATAGGTAAGATATCCTACATTGAACATAATGATTGACATAACCGTTTTACTTATAATCCCACTTCTTTTATTTCAGTGGCTCCAACATTTTTAACTGTACCAAGACCTAAAAATGCAATACTGGGAGAAAAGATTGAATTTAAATGCACAGCTCAAGGATTCCCAAAGCCTGTTATTACATGGTTTAGAAACACATTACCTTTACCGGAAAGCGATAATTACGTTTTGAAGAATGAGAATCAGATATTTATCATTTTAGAAGTGACCATAGATGACGAGGGCCTGTATCATTGTAAGGCACAAAATACGGAAGGTATTATCGAAGCATCGGCAGAACTTAAAGTTGACGAGATTAATTCTATTCCACCTCGTATTACAGTTCAACCAGAAGACACTGATGCATTTAAGGGAACATCAATACAAATGCCTTGTGAAGTAGAAGGAGAACCGCCTGCTTCAATAGAATGGCGAAAAGACGGTTCACGAGTAAGACCTGATGGCAGAATTGCAATTACTATATTTGGAAGCTTGATTATTAATAACGTCTCAGTGACAGATACCGGACTATATGAATGTTCTGCATTTAATACACACGGTCGCGATACTGCTTCTGCTTCATTGGTAGTAAAAGATCACATACTTCCTGGAGATCAATATGTCAATATAGCTTTAACACAAGCGACAAGAGATGTTGATCAAGCCATTTCAAGGACAGTTGAACAACTATTTAACAATAAAAGTGCTAATGTAGGCATTCATGAGCTCTATGTAATCAGTAGATTCCCTAAGAAACAAGCCAGAGAGATTGCTAAAGCTGCTGAAATTTACGAAAGAACTTTAGATAAAGTGAAAGATCTTGTAGATGCTGGATTAAAGGTTACCTCAGCGGAACCTTTTAACTATCAAGCAATTTTATCTAATGAACATCTTGAAGTAATCGCACGGCTCTCTGGATGTGTTGCTCATAGAGATTCAAACAATTGTTCTGATATGTGTTATCATGGAAAATATCGTAGCTTCGATGGTACATGCAATAACTTTGTTCACCCTATGTGGGGTGCGTCACTAACTGGTTTCAGACGAATTCTTTATCCTATATATGAAAATGGGTTCAGTAAACCTGTCGGTTGGAATAAAGATTTCAGATATAATGGTTTTAATTTACCAGGTGCTAGATTAATATCAACAATCATTATAACTACTAAAAAGATATCAGAAGATGTTGAAATAAGCCATATGACTATGCAATGGGGTCAATGGTTAGACCATGATTTGGATCATGCTTTGCCGTCAGTCAGTTCAGAAACATGGGATGGAGTCGATTGTAAAAAAACATGTGATTACTCACCGCCCTGTTTTCCTATTGACGTACCACCAAACGATCCGCGTATTACGAATCGTCGATGCATTGATTTTTTCAGAACAAGTTCAGTATGCGGTTCGGGGATGACTTCTGCCTTGTTTGGAATATTACAACCCAGAGAACAAATTAATCAGTTGACTTCATTTATTGATGCTTCACAAGTATACGGTTTTGAAAAAGACGTAGCTCAGGATTTGCGTGATTTAACAACTGATGATGGAAAACTGCGAGTTGGATTTGCATTTTCAGGAAAGAAGCCGTTTTTACCAACAACTGGTTTAAATGCTATGGACTGCAGGCGCAATCTACAAGAAAGCAACCGAAACTGTTTTGTTGCAGGTGATATACGAGCAAATGAACAAATAGGTTTAGCCGCTATGCACACCATCTGGATGAGAGAACATAACCGATTGGCGAGTGAATTAAAAACTATAAATCCATTTTGGGATGGCGATAAAGTTTATCAGGAGGCAAGAAAAATCGTGGGAGCTGAGATGCAGTTAATAACCTATGAGGATTGGTTACCTATTATTCTTGGACCTGAAGGATATCAACAATTAGGCGAATATAAAGGTTACAATCCAACTACTAATCCATCGATATCTAACGTTTTTGCTACAGCCGCTTTGAGATTTGGCCATTCGATGATTAATCCTGTACTTCATCGTTACGATGAAAACTTTGAAACTATTCCTCAGGGACACTTACAACTGCGCCATGCATTTTTCTCTCCTTGGAGGTTAGTCGACGAAGGAGGAGTAGATCCTCTATTAAGGGGTATGTTTATTACACCGGCCAAATTAAAAACTGCTACACAAAACTTAAACTCGGAGCTTACTGAGAAACTTTTTTATAGTGCTCATGCTGTTGCCCTTGATTTGGCTGCGATTAATATTCAAAGAGGTCGTGATCACGCTTTACCTCCTTATACGAAATGGAGAGAAGTCTGTAATATGACTGAAGTAAATAGTTTCGATGACTTGGCTAGTGAAATAACAAACAAAACAGTTAGAGATAAACTAGAAAAGTTATATGGCTCTGTGCATAATATTGACGTTTGGGTTGGAGGTATATTAGAAGATCAAGTCGAAGGTGGTAAAGTGGGCCCACTATTCAGGTGTTTGTTAATTGAGCAATTCCGTCGACTGAGAGATGGTGATAGATTTTGGTATGAAAATCCAACAATGTTTAAACCTGTACAACTGGAAGAAATTAAACGTACTAGTTTAGCTAGAATATTATGTGATAACGGGGATGATATCGATACCATTAGTGAAAATGTATTTCTGCTGCCTGATGTCCAAGACGGACTTATATCATGTGACGACCTGCAATCAATTGATCTACGGTACTGGGCAGATTGTGAAAGTTGTAACGATATAGGAAGTTCTGAGCGATTCACCCGGCGTGCCCGAAGAGATGTCACACATACAGATTATATTGAGTCCAATAATTTGCAAAATGACGTTCGCTTGAATCGTTTAGAGGATACACAAAATAATGTAGAAACAACCATGAAAAATCTCAAAGAACGCATCGAGCAATTAGAAAAGAAATGTTATCGTAAATAAATACGACGCTTTTAAAACACTTGTTGTAGTAATAGTATAGTATTAACGTTAGTATCACGATCTTGTGTTTCAATGAATGCATTATAAAATAACGTATCCATATGATAAGTAATAACGTATAAATAATATATTGTGAGTGCAGTTATATGTATGCATATGTATGCATACATAATCCTGCACCATTTACATATTACGACGTTTACGAGATAATTTTTAGATATTAGGAACTTGAAAACATTCTTAATATATCTAAGGAAAAGTATTTTCATTATTATATATAATAATAAGATTAATTATTAATAACTAAGTTATTGTGGATTCCAATTACGTTCATAATATTTCTATAATTCTACATATATGTTTATTATTGTCAATATTAAGGCTGAAAAGTTATCTAGTCTAAACTGCAGGGTAACTTTTGACGGAATCGGAACAACTGAGAACAAGAACTAATGCCTAAAGGAAATGGTTTTTGTAATTGTTCAGAGGTGATCAAATCAAATCGAAATGTCAATAGACAGCGCTTTTTTTTATATTGAAGTTATTACACATAGAAACCCTATAAAAGAAGATGAAATTATAAAACTTATAGTTAAAATAGTATCAGCATCCTTTGTGGTTCGTAAGGATAAACATACAGATGAAGGCAGGTAATTTATAGTTTATATAGTATGTCTATATTATTGTATTATTTATTTATATGATACGGCATATTTCTGTATATTGTACTCGTATATTTCTAATATGGTACATCTCTGTGACATTTAACACTTAAAAGATATTATTTGACGTAATTTGATTTGATTTGGATTCTATTATGTTCAAGAGTCAGGCTGCTTATTTTAAGGAATCATAGTAATAAGATTAAAGGAAATTTTGAATATTAATCCCAATAAATTTTTAGTCTAAGTAACAGTTAATACCATATTTAATCTTAATAAGTATACAAAAAATTTACTTCATAGTAGATAATACTTTCATTCTCTTATATTAATAGGCCATTACTATAATAAATAATTACCAATAATGAGTTTACTTAAAATTTTCTCTAATATATTGTAGGCGACATTTATCGCATTTCATGATTATAAATTAGGTACTCGTTCTAGTTGTCAATTTAAGTAGTAAAGAAAAGAATAGGCCGGCAGGTACAGGCCGTAGAAAGAAAAATATACATACAATTAAACGTAGAAGTTATTAAGATTACTTTCCTGTAACAAAAAAAAAAAATCAGATTCCAAAATTATTGTAATTCTAAAATACTTGTAATTTTTTTATTTATTAATACGATTATTTAATAAAACGCATTTACTTCAAATTTTTAATCTAAAATTGTATTGGTAGGTAACTGATAAGTTTAAATATGTTTCAAATATTAATACCAATAATTACTAAGAAAGTTACAATAAACAACGCCATGTTCTATATTTATTTAACATTCTGTGAACTACACATTTAAGGTCGTAAACTTTACGCTACTTATGTTTTAAGCACATTACATATATTTTGTACAATCTTGACATTACGACAATAGAGCTGTACTGGTGGTGTATTTTGCATATTATAGTATGTCTTATATTTAAAGATAGAATTTCTAAATATCGAAACTTAGAAAAATTAAATAATTTAAAACACATGTATTAAATTCTGTTGTGGTATAAAACTAAAGCGGACGAACAAACATTGTGTATATTAATGTATCATTTATTTATATGAGATTAATTCTTTTATATAAATTTAATAGAAACGTTAAGATTGCATAATAAAAATGCCACTACCTAATTAATAAAAATATCGGAAGCTGAAAATTGGATTCATTTAGTTTAACTGGCGAATGCCTAATGTACCTATTATAACTCTATTTTAATCATATATACTATTCATAAAAAATTAATAAGTGTCTGCATATTTACATGTAATTCTTGGTGTTCAATAAATAGAAAAAGCAAAGAATGGCTTTTATTAGACATCTTAACTCCTTTAATTCAATATATTTAAGTATTGCACTAAAAATAATGTTACATTGATTCAGAAACTAAATGTTTTGCATTTTAATAGAACCAATTAATTAGACGCCAATATATTTTGTGTGTCTACCTATGGCTAAGACCTGATTCTTGTCTTTATTTCTTACTTCAACTTCTAAAAAGGCTATTTTCTTTCCAGTTTTCTTTGTAACTGCTTCTACTTCTATGTTATCACCTTCCTTTGCTGCACTCATGTAACTGAAAACATTAAATAAAAAATATGAAATTTGTGATATACATTAAAAATAACATGTCTTCTTATTAGACGATACAATACTTCAAACACTGAACTAGAGTTTTAGTTTTTAACATTTTAGATATGACAGATACATATATATTTGACAATTTTTTTTTCCATGGACCACATACTGTTGTAGGGATCTGTGCAGTAAATTTAAGTCAAAGATGTATTAATCTTCGTATGTGATCTGAAGACTAGTATGGACTAATCCTTGGACAGCCAGGGGTCCACAGACCATCAATTAAGAACCACTGTCATAAAAAGTCAATTGTTTAATTACAATTATAAAATGTATAATTTGTACATTAGTTATTATAACAGAAAAGTTGATTTATACCATACCTTACACTGAGATCAATAGATACACCTCTTGTGTCCACCTTTTCATTTGATGTTAGTGCATAAGTTGAGACTGCATCAACTAAATGTGCTATAAATCCCCCATGGAGGGTACCTCTTTGATTTAGATGTTCAGGACCAACTTGGAATTCTGTAACCATTCTTCCATTATCACAGCATACTACCTTCACCTGTAAATTTATATTTAATAAATGACATAAGTGTTCCGTGTATAACCATACTTAACAAGAATCACTTTAGTCAATTGAAAAGATTCATATGATTGTAAGTGAATTCGTTTTTAAAGTGTTTAGAATATTAAATAAAGCTTTTATATATATGTTCAAAAGTAAGCAATATAATTTAAAGCTTGTATCTATTGAGTTCATAATAATATAGTATCGGGATAGGAGCTTCTTATATTCAAATTCAATTAAGTACTTCAATTATTTGCAGTAATATTTTACCATATACTTAAAAACAAAATATAAGTATTTTATGGTATACAACTAACTTTGTATTGAATTGGTTGCTGTTGTTTAAAAAATTAAATAATAGCAACCAACTTGTGTAATTTTTTCACTGTGTTTGAGATACATTAGTTTAGACTTATATAAGCTAATTATTATGATAATAGATATAAAACTAAAAGTTTATAAGCTAAACATTTATTAATGTATATAGGTTTGTATGTATCAATTCAATAATCTTTATAAATAATCATACTATACAAGTATATAAATAAAACAATTACTCAAATTAGGCAACAGAAGACAAAATAAAAAATAAGTAATATTTATACATTTGCAGAAGCAATAATATTACGTAACTGAAAAATGAATGGGACTATGTAAACAAACCTTGCGAAGATTCTGATCAAAACATTTTGTGCTGGCAATAACTTTAGAAAAAAGTTCCGCAACAGCTGTTCCTTTGGTGCACATTCTTCTATAACTTTAATTTAAATAATTATGACAAATTTTGAATATAAATATCAAGATTTTGTGAAAGTAAATAGGTCTACAAAATTATAGTTTAAAAACTACAAGAAATTACTGAAGTGTAATTCATCTAACAACGAGCGAGTGATGAGTTAAACTGAAATCTCAGAAAAGACAATCTATCTGAGACGGAAATAATTGTTAAGTTATTGTTTGAAATAATTAATTATTATAAATTTTTGCATGTAAACATATGTTATCAAGTCAGCTGTCAAACATTGCGGCCGCTTGACATTGCCAGTAGCTGTCTAAAATTGACATTAACAGACTGTTTAAAATTAACATTGACATTAGATAAAGAAACAAGATTTTTAAATTTGTGCTCATAACCAAAGAAACTCATAACAAAAAAAAAGTTTGTGCTCATGTTTGATACATTTTTTTCCCATATTGTGACTTGAACACGAGGACTAATAGACCAATGTTTTAGTACAGGCGCCAAGACATTATTGGAGACAGTGTGTAATTTACATTAAATTACTTCATGTATTTGGTATCATCAAAATATATGGTAGTCAAAAATCATCAAAATTGGGAATGGGGAATTTTGTACCGCTTCGCCATGTCTCACAGTTCGTAAATCGTTTTAAAATAGATGTTTGACTAACATATATAAAAAGCAACCATCAGATATTCACTTTCTAGTTACTTTGCACCCACAGAACTGACTCTATCGATTAACATTTAATCATCCAAATCGTATAAACCGATTTGGATTTTAAATTGGATTCTAAAGTATTAAAGACACGCATTTTTGATTCCGCACGGTATTTGTTTACCATAATACATATATTAGGTACTATAATCTATCGAATTAAGACAACGACAAATATTATAATAAATACCATTAGTACTATTTATAACTGTCCATGTTAATTACACATTAATTCAACGTAAATACCAATTCACCTGTTGTTAAACACATTTGTGCATTAACTGAAATCTGAAATTAATTTAATACAGGAAGAAATTGTAGTAATAAAGACTAGTTAGAAGTCCTATTGCTAATAATGTACGATTTTTTAATTCAACGCATGGTCGTCGAATTAAAAAATCGTACATTATTAGCAATCTGGAAACGATGTTACCGTGGATTTAAAATGTGATTAAAAATTTTTGGTTATCTGACATCATGATCGTCATCATCACCTCCATCAGCTTAGGCAGATCAGCGATTTCATAACATATTCATCAATAAAAAATCTAGACTTAACCTGACTCTGTTTTAAGTTCCATTTAGCTGGCATTATGATTTCATTTATTATTTAAAATATACGTTATTCAGAGATTGGTAATATTTTGGATTATTCCAATAATAATAATAACAAATAATTATCTCTTAAAAAGTTATTATTATTTTGTAATTAAAAAACCTTTCACGTTATTTATCCTTTTGAAAGTCCATCAACAGAGTATTCTTAAATATAATTTCGAAGTTAATAACATGCATATCAAATAGGCTTTTTAAGCCAAAACGAAACGTGGCAATTACGAATTTACGCCTAAACTACGGTTATTATATGTATAAATAAAATTTTCACCTAACCGGCGTAGTTATATAATTTCTGTGCTATCCGTTATTAGACTTATAATAGTAGGTACTCGTAGTATAGTATTTTAATGTTATGTAATAATAATCTAATGCATTGACGAAGGGTCACCGGTTCTGCCGGCGGGTAGAATAGTTACGTGCGTGCTACTTACGTGTGAGACTTCATTATTGTCGAAATTAAAACATAATTAAAAGTCAAAGAGAATACAGACTCGTGTTGAACTTAGAATAAATTCTGTAGTAGTTGACCACACTTTTATACGTGCATGTAGGGATCCAAATATTTATTAATACTTTGATATAAATTTAGAATTTAGGCCAAAAAATTCAGAATTTATTTACAAAATTATAAAGAATTTATATTGTTAATAGCGATCTGAGATGGGAAATGTTAACATCGGTATCAATTATATCGGTATACTCGGATTCTAACATATTCTATGGCTTATTTATAGTAGGTACTCTACTTTAAACTAGGTACATTACCTGATGATTCCTTCTTTTTACTATTATTAAGTATACGAGGAGAGATGGCCGAGTTATTTACATATTTCTGAAATAAATTAGTCTAATTCTACTCAAACATTTAATATCATATTTATATGGAGAATTGTGACCGCGTCATGTATTATTTCATGAATATAATAATTTAACTAAAGAAATTAAACTTATATAATTTAATATTTTGTATAAGACTTTTTTTTATAATGTTAAATATTTATCCCGCTCTATTAGTTTAGTTGACTTACAAAAGGTTTTTAAAATAAATATTAAGTTATTTAAAAACTTATAAAAAAACAAGTTACACTTGTTCGGTTTAAAAAAAGCAGAACGTGTGGATAATGTAGCCGGAAAAAACCATTACACACATATTTGCATAGACGTTACAATATATAATCTGCGTATATGACGGGCCTTGTATGTGTATATGCATATAATACTAACAAATAAGTGGTAAGTAGGTAAGCTTTCTGCTGTGCTCCGGTTACGGTAGGTACCACCGTTGATTTTGGACCGGTCCCTGACTGGAAATGATTATACAATCCAAAACATTTGGGCTGTATAAAAATGATTGCTATCATGACTTATATTACGTACCTACGTATCTCAATGATTAATTAAATCTTTATAAATATCTTTATAGTATATTTTCACTGTTAATTTTATCTTTATTTATATAAATTAAAATAATATTTTATATTTCTGCATTTCTAGATGTGTAGTTAAATTAATTGAAAGTATTAAATATTACAATGCGGAATGATATAAGAAAGCTATTTGTGATGCCTCTAATCCTTTTTTTGATGTAATGGGAATATCAAACAAGCTGATGGCCTGATGGTAAACGGTAACCGTCGTCTATACACGTAATACTCCAATAGCACTCCGGGTATCACTTTATTTAAGTGACATCTACTACCATTCCAGAGGTATCTACATATATATATCTCACGCGTCTTCATTACATAGTATAAAACAAAGTCACTGTCGCTGTCAGTCCATCCCTATGTATGCTTAAATCTTTAAAAAATGGCGACACGGAATTTTATGCGGTTTTTTTAATAGATAGAGTGATTCAAGAGGAATGTTTATATAGATATATAATACATGTATACCACTGCGAAGCCGGGGCGAGTAAATAGTATCTAGTAATTTCACTTCCTAAATGCACCCTGCAACCTTAACATAGTTTATAAAGTAAGCTGTTTGACGAATGAAATATGTCACATTGAGGTATAAATGCAGACGACTTTTTGCAGTCTATCTCTGGTTATATAATTATGGTATTTTGGTATAAATATTATGTGTACATGATCTGTAACACGTCATTACATTGATATGTATGTAACGTGATACAGATCATGTGCACAGTCCCATGCCGACACCACTGAATATTTAATAGTGGTGAGATGGTGACACTCATGCAAAGTATGCACTTGTAGGCGCTTGTCAATGGACGTGGTGTGCCACTGTTATGTAAATAGTACATAACTATATGACGGTACGTGTGACATGTTCAATGACTCTCATTGTTACCGCGATTGCGATAGCCGATGGCTATATCATCAAATGCGACGTGATCGACTCGCCAGCACAGGTGTTGCCAGATAATTATATTGTATACACCCCAAATTATATACAAAATTCTCACGAAAAGTAGATAATATAGAAATGTAGGTATTAAAAATATGCCCCTGAGAAAAAACCTGACTTATTTACTTTATTTTTTTATTTTTAATAATAGTTTCATCGGTTTTCTAAACTGATGACTTTTCTAAGCAGATTGATCTAAGACGAGTTCTTCTTTTTCATGATTTCATGGTTTTTTAAGTCGTCGGTTTCATTTTCATGGTTTTGTAATTTCTTCCTAAGTTTTGTTTTTATAAACTCCTTTTAATACTTCAATATTTCCCCATAAATCCTTCCACACATTTTATCTTCCCATTGCCTCCCTAAATTTGGGGGGAAACTCTCAATCTGGCATCATTGGCCAGCTACCACCGCGAAACACAAGTCACTTGACAATGACACTAGCATTCTCATTCATAGCGTTAACTCTATTTCGTAATCGCTAACCTATTTGCCAATTGTTCTATTTTTTTTCATATAGGGAAACAAGGGCCTATTAAGAACCTTCACTTATATTGGCAGCTTGTGATTTAAAAAGGTCAATAGAAAGTAATGTAAGCTTGAATAGGTACTTGAATGGAATACACGTATGCCTATATAGTTTATCTATTCCATACATTTATGTAGGTATATTGTAATTTTATTACATTGGAATGTTAATGATACAATTACATTTTACGGACCTACAAACCTTACGTAATATTGTACTCATTCATATCTTTAGCATTTCCTGTAGGTATACCTCTATAAGGTTAAGTTTAACAGTTCGGTAATACTAAACCTATATAAAATTGTACAAAGCTACACGTTTTACAAAATTTTATTTACAATAATAATATATTTAGTCCTTGAATTAGGAAATTAATTATATTGACACAAAAGGTTTATAAGAATTCACTTTAGGTTTTTTCCCGTATTGTTGATGGTATTAATTAGTAGTAGTGAGGTTTTCGGAGGTGGTCAACATTTGATATACCCATATATCCGTGGATACTATATTTGAATTCAGCGTGGTTAAAGACAACCTTACCGCAGTTTCTACGATTTTTTTTATTGTTTTTATTATCGGTGTACCAGAAAATTAGTCAAAAATATAAATTGATACGCAAAATATTTTTTGGGGATCAGCCAGACTTAACTCATGACTTTTTTGTTGTAATAAGCTACCAGGCCTCGACGCTCCTGATAATATAGAAAAGTAAACTTAAATATGAAAACAAGTGCAACAAAATACAAAGTATCTGTTATTCGCATACAAAAGACAATGAAAACACGAGAACAAGGCAGTACTTTTGTTTACATTATCCGGTGTTGTGCAACAGTTCGCTAAACTGCACACGGATAACTTGGGCGTAGGACGCGATCTGAGAAAGTGGACCCGTTTCGCAGAGTAACCTCTTCCGTGAACGGGCTACAGCAACAGCCGCATGTGCCGCATCTATAAGACCAGTTATTTATTTTTCTTACGCTGCATTTCACGAATTCGGCAGACTATGTCACCGCTTCGACTCCGATTAATTCCATAGCAAGGATGCAAAAGATATAATTGTCAGTATACCTGTACTATACTATCACATGAATTTACTTATTAGTATAAAAAAGACAATATATTGACAATATTTTGTTTAAGCAATATGAATATTTTCTTAATTAACCATGCCTCACTGATTACTTGGCCGACAAATCTTAATCAATGTTTGGTCATGATATCAGAAGTTTATCGTAAACTGGATTCGTATCTTGATTTTAAAAAGTGGTTTATTACATAAGCTTCTTGGCCACAACTCAAAAAAGGTTTCATGAGCAAAAAAATATTATTTTGTAATTTAGTTACACTTTTATAGTTTTGTTGTAGTAGTAGAAACGCAAACTACAAATTATTTTATTGGTATAAACTAAATGACCGATCTAGAATTAATGTCCTATAAATTTAAATTGACATACATCGTATTAATGTAAGCCTGTTTAGAACACAATATTTTTTGAGCCAATTTAAGATACTGGATTTGAACTTTATCAGTAATATATACCTACCCGAAACTTTATGTTGACCTCCAATTACAAAAGGCATAAACAAATTAGCTGTGAAATTACAGGGCACGGAGGCTTAACATCTTATTTGTCCAGAATGTATCGCATGACTGCTACTAGGGCCTTGATATATTTGTGCGTGGTGTTCTTCATTTCCATAAAGAATGGATATCACCACCATAAGACGGGCCGAAAGCTTATCAGTCATTGAAATTATACATAAAAAAACGAAAATAAAAATATTTAAAAGATATTTTACAAGAAGAGATATTTTACAAAATGTATTTTAACAAGGTAACTAATTTCGTATCATATGTAAGTCTTTTAAAGAAACAAATGTCAAGCTAATGATTCAGGGTTAATAGTCAACGAAGGAGTATAAAATTCTATGAGAATTAATTTAATGTGTGTTGTATTGCATAGGTAATCAAAATATATAATGGTTTGTCGCGTAATTGATGATAAAAGTGGGCACTATGGCTTTCAGCTGTTATGATACCCGACCAGACACCTGACTGACAAATCAAAACGTCGTTTCCTGAACAAGAAATGCTTCCTGATACGCTTGTTTCTAGAAATTCTGATATTTGTACATACACTATTAACTAGGAAAGACCGCAATAGTATTCATTGCTATGCCACTAGTGTAATCAGTTAATTTTTTTATAGGACAGGTAATATTAGTAATGTGAAACTAACTTAAATCTTTGTTTCTACCTTTATTTAGTTGCAAAAATAACTGAGTAAACATTAAAACATTCGACTTCAAAACTTATAAAATATAGAAATATTGACTAATTTATGCGTTGTTACGTGTATTTAAATTCAAATGTATTTTTATCTATAAAGTGTAAATTTATTTTAATTTATTTTTCTATCTATACTTACACCTCATTTATAACAAGATATGCACAGTGAACTGTTCACCATGTAAGTCTAGGCAGTACAATTTATGTAACAGACAAAATATCAATGTGTCCGCATTATAATCCAAATAGTCTACGCAGAATAAGAGAAAATTACTAACTCTGCCAGGAAAAATGTTTCAACAGTAAAGATCTAAATTACTAGAGTACTACCTAAAGAGAAAATACTATAAGTACTCTAAATAATAAAGTATCAATATAACTATCCGATTTTAATATATTCTTATATGTATGAACTTTCGTAAATTATCTAGATCATAACAATCCATTACCCTAATCGCTTATAAAAAACATATCAAAATTACCTTGGTTAGGATTTAATATACCTAGTAGTTATACTTATTAAAATTAATGAAGTACTTATTTTTTACCTAATTGATTTCGAGTTTCTTTGTTACCTTATAATTGCTACCTCGACTATACACTAGCACAAATAACATTTATTCATTGTGCGCCACTTAGTCGGCAATTTTACAAAAACATAACTCTTATTGAAAAGGACATTTCTTGCTTCACAGCAGATATTTTACTTATGTAATGTAATATTACAGTGATGTGTTACAGTGTGGCGATGTTACATTACAGTTTACATTGATTTGCACCTTTTGACTTGTTGGCTTGTGTGGACAAGCCATCTTTTCAATATCCACTTTTGTACAATCTCTAATTTTCTAGTAATGCAGTAATACCTAGATTATTATAATTTTCGGTTCATATAAAATAATTCCGTAATTTGATACCCAAAAAATAAAGCCACACTGTTAATTCTCATTCGTTTATGTAGATGTATTGCCGAATATGAATAATTTACTTCGAAAACAACAATCTTTTGGAAGTGAATTGATTATTGCCTATCAAATTAACGCATAGTTACATAAAAAATGTAAATTATTTGCACGAACGTTGAATTTCCGGCATGTTTGATAATGTTACATTCAGTTGTATATCTCCTAAAAGCTTCCGATCAATAGAAAGCATGTCTTAGGAGTCAAAAGATCAAAGATTTCGAAGAATGCAACGTACGAGGCGTTGTAGGAAATGCATACATAACTTGAATAATGCACCAGAGGTATGAATAAATAGTTATATATATATAAGGCTTAATGTATATGGTATGGTAATGTGTATAACATTATGTATAAATGATCTGAAATAATTAACGACGATCTCTGTCTAGCACACCGCTTTACGACCGATGGTCGAGGGTTCGATTCCTCGCACGGCACAAACATTTGAATTCATGAGTATGATTGTTTGTATCGGTCTGGATGTTTTCTATGTATAATATGTATGTATTTACCAAAAAAAATATATTATCTATATATGTATTATGTATCAGTTATCTGTTATTATATCTAGTTAGTACCCATAACACAAGCTTTAACTTGGGTCTAACTTTGCTAACGTTAGCTTTGGCTAACGCTATGTGAATTGTCTTGTGAGATTATATTATTGGCATTCATCATATTATTGGGCATTTTTTTATGTTATTTAGATGGTAAAAAATATTACGGCTCGCCTGATGGTAAACAATACCTGTCTCCTATAACATAAACAGTTTTTACAACCGACGGTGTGTTTTAAATATATGGGAGTGTCAGGACAGAGTCCATCCATCTCAGAAAAAATAATGATGTCTCAAGTACGCTTTTCGGACATTATATCGAAGTCAGGTTATTGATTAACAATGTCTGTTGTCCTTGTCACAGTTGCAGGTGCTTTTTATATGATTTTTTAAATTAAATTTTATGATTTAATCAAAATTATAAAAGTCGCAATTATCACAATAAGACTACAGTGGAACATTAACGAGCGTGTCGTGGCCTATTGATTTACTACCCGATTGCACAGAGATAAAATCTGGTAGATATAATAATATTTCTCTGTCTACTTAAGTAAGTTCTGGTAACAAAGATAATAAAACTAATTAATCCTTTGATGTGCCGCCCGAAGGATCAGGACTATGTTGGATTCTGCGAATGTCAAGTGTTGCGTTTACTATGACACCAATCTTCCAGTGAACAATGTATCTAAATAATATAAATTATAAAAATTCTAGTAGGTATAACAGAAAAATTTACACATTTGCTGTTTTCTTTCTATTATTAATAAGAACTATACGATCAATTATTATTATTCCAAGATATTTTCCAATTTTATAAATAGTAATTTAGTAGTGCCAATAAAGTATCATTTAATAATAAGAGCTAGATTATAAAATATCCTTTGCTGAACTTTTCTGGGTCATTTATAGATTCGCTATATGAAAACTACATTAATTCTTTACAAACTTTTACAATCTAATGGAAAACCTATAAAACCTATCATAATTGAATATTATTACTAATTTTGAGAACGTATAGAGTTTTTCGAGTTTGTAAATATTGAGTTAGTTTTAATTAATTTAAAACTATATTAAAATATCTTTAATACAGAATAAGAATAGAAATATAATAAATAAATCATAAAATATTTAGTGGTTAAAGTATTTTTATTTTTCATTGCACATAGAAGCAAAAATAAGAAAATTATTTAATTGAAGTATATTAGCAAATTAACAAACAAACTATTTATCTGTAAAAGAAGATTTATTGTAGTAAATATTAAAACCTTATAGTATAATAATATATTCACAAGTCTGCAAACGTCTACCAATATAAAAAGACATAAATAAGATACAGTAATATTCTATTAGACATATAATTGCAATTTTAATAATATGCCCAATATAAAAAAAAATGTCTAATGTTTATTTGGTCAATAGGTTGAGTTAAACATCCTTCCTTGGCTTCCTTCCCACGCTTCCTGAGATAGAGGTTGGCTAGCCTGCGGCTGCGGGGTGCCTACAGCGAAAGTGAATGCCATAGCGCGCCCCACCGTCCGCGTCATGGGGTAGGCCCGTTCATATATATATAAACTCAAACCCAAGGTAAAGTAATAGAGTGAAAACAGTTCCGGCGACTTAGCCAGTGGTACGGCCGTCCCCCGCCCCATCATGCGAGGGTTCTGGAGCCAAGTGGTCAGTGTTACATAACATGATCGTCCATTGGACAATCATTGCAATTTCGGGCTTTTGTGGTAGCGGTCGGTGGTAAGACGGAATTATCGATTCTAAAGTTCGTCTGCGAATTTTATGTGGATCATCTTTTTAAATATTATTCGAGTGTTAATAAAATCTTATTATAAACTGTGAAATACATTCGACGCGTTTTAAATTTTTTTTTATTAAATACTTACCGATCGATTACCAGTAGTACATTAATTAAATTAACAAATATTAATTCATATTTATTAATGACATTACAAAGGCACGGTCAAGTAAGCTACTTATAATAATTACCATTAAGTTTAGTCACTATGTATGTAATATCAGATTTCATTTAGATTTCAAAGTTTTGGTGCATTACAGTACTAATCATATTTAAAGAATCGCTCTTTTTATAAAAACGTTTGGTTATTAGATGTTACTATATTTCAAATTCATATTTCAGAATATTTATCATCATATTTTTTCATGTAGGTCTATTACAGACTCTTATGACATGTCAAATCTACCGTCAGTTCGGAATGATTTCGAGATGAGAAGATCTGATAAAAAACATATGCATATGCTGTTGCAGTTTTGTCAAAAGCAAATTAGCCTAATTAGTGTTCGTAACCGAACAGATCAATCCATACAAGCATATGAAAAAAAGCATTACAATAAATGCACCCGGTATTAGAATGAAGGACGAAATGCGCAAAAAAATCTATAAAGTATTGATTTATCGAGGTCAAGATGAATAATAGAAGCAATCGTATCGATCAAAGCCGACTGCACATCTGCAAATTAATTTCCCCACGTAAGTACCTTACGTAATCAATTTATGACAAGTTTTAATTAATTTGATATATAATATAATATTTTCTGCATATAAACTTATCATAATTTAATTACGTAAGTTGTACTTATATTGTTTAAAGACTTTTTGTATTACCAGACGAGTTTAGTTAGTAATACTTTGTGTAATTTGTATGATATTTCAAATAAAGTACAACATTAGTGACACATAAATATCTAAATCGACGTAAATCTTTAACAGTACCTATATATATTTTATTATTGTCCAGATAAACAATTAAATATATAAAAGAACCTTAAAAGTAAATAAAACAACCATAACAATATAATTTCATTTTTTTTGTAACATAATCGTAGACCTTTAAATAGGTACATCAATTTTAAAAATGCTATCCCCATTTAAGCCAGACACCTGTAGTAGGTATGTAAGCAATTTTAAGTAGCAAGCTTTATTAAATAAATGCAATATTAAATTATAGTTTATAAAATGTTGTTCGTAGATTATTTCAGCATACTCTTGTCGAGTGAGAAATCGATAATACTTCGTCTGTATTCACTTTATTGTAATTAACTGTATTTAATTTAATTATAGATTTCTACTTCAGTAATTAGAAATCATGCATGTTGGCGACAAACAAAGGAAGACCTTAACAAATAAGACAACAAGGCTAATCTTGAAAAATTATTGTTTAAAGATAATAGTGCTTGATATAAGGATCAATACAATTCAGTGCCTATCATTCGCAGCCATTAACTATTTATTCCATTGCATTGATTACTCAAGTTGCAGGAGTATTGTATTGAGCGTTTTAATAGGACTAACCTTTAGCTATTATTACTATGATAGTAACATTGGTTTTTTAAATGCCAAGACCTATTTCTAGACATTGTTTTATGGCAAACTTCTCTAATGTTATGGAGTAACTATGTTATTTGTTTATATAAGATCAATATATTTCTTAGGAGATGGCCAACTTCTTTGTCTTGTTTCATCTCAAAACAAAAAAAAAACAATTGATACGTAGTAGTAGGGACTTTGTTTTTGTTATATAGAAAACAGACCCAGTCTGGATTTCTATACCCTACAATATAAATTCTCCAAATTAAAATGCAGGGGTGAAACCATTATGGTGCTACTTTGTCTATTCAGAGGTATATCTAGATTATGAGCTCTATATTATAGAAATTAATAATAATATCATTTCATAAATCACCTTTTTCAGATAGTTGACCCAATTTAATAGGAGATGAAAAATAAATAAATTTCTTTTATTTAAATGTCAGAAAACTTCCAATGTTTCACGTGAAATATTTGTTTGTATTAAATGCGATTGCTTCAATTTTTTCGTTCATATATAATACTTTAAAGGTAGGATATGACGAATTGATGGACTCTATGACGTAATAAACATATCGGGTACGTTTTATCTTTTAAATTTTGAAATCTAATTACAGTATAAATAAACGTCTTGTATAATATCGTATTTGTTGCGTAGCATTAGATACAAACACGGATATTAAATGTAAGCAGGTTCTTAAATTGGTACATGGTTCCGATTAAAGACATTTGTTTTTATAAGCTGTTGTTATAAGTTAGATGCCATTCATTGCTAAAAAATGTTGATATTTTACCATTTCCCATTAAAGGTATATTACAATACAACTGACGTTATGAAAACGTTCGGATGTATTCTTATTAAAATAATGGTCGTAATAAAGTCATATATGGTGCGTGTGGGTGTCGATCGCCATTGTCACTGTCCTGCCACGTCCGCTTACATAAATATTGCATAATGTCGCCCGTATGCTGGTGCCGTATTAGCCCCATGTGTGAACAACGCTAATGAACCAGATGCACTTTCTCGGTGAATTTTCACCGTCACTTTATATAAGCTGGTCACGAGTTGAGAAATCCTTGTGACCCAAATAAATATATGTTTTGAGTCATACATGGTCATTATCGTGTGTTAAATAGAACATTAATTCTGTGGTCTCGTCTATTAAAATTTATAAAAATGATTCAATCAGCCTTTTGACTTCGAATTTCCTATAATAACAACATTGAGTACATCAGTAAAACTTAGAGAGTTATATTTAATTACCTCGGAAATGTCTACAACAATATTGATAAAAAATGGAATACTTGTATGATAACCTTACGTTTTTAACATTTGGAACAATAGTATATATAATTAAATAATAATATAATTCACCTAGAAAGGCATTTATTAGATAAAGGTAAGAGACAATTAATGTTCTATTGTTACTTTCAATCGATATCAAATGGTTCTCTTACGGTTTGCATCCTGGGAGTAGACACAATTTACTACATTTTTGTCGCAATTTATTAAACTATTAAAGCCGGATCATTCGCAGATAATAAATGATACCAGATAACAACTCGTTTGTTACATCTACTTTCTTTGTTTCTTCTATACAAGCTTACATAATGATTTAAGATACGGCAGTTTTAATTTATATAATTCTTACAACATAGTGAAATTGCTTTTGTGGTTACGGTGATACATATTTTACTCGACTCAAGTAGATTCATAATTAGTGCGTAACTCGTTTTCTTATATGTATATTCAGCGTAATTAATAATTATTTTTCAAGTTCATGTAGTTACTTTAAGAGATAATAGAGATAATATAAATATATGTAAATAGGATTCTTAATTCTAAGCTTTGCGATGCGAGTGCGAATTAAAAACATATTCTTTACATTATACCTAGTGTTATTTGACTTATCTATATTCTATTACATATATAATTCTTATAGTTAGTTGCTTTACACATAAGTACATATAACAATTCTAAAATGTCCATCATTCTGCTAAGCGGTTTGGATAATAATATTGGATTTATTTCTGTTTTTAAATAAATTTATTTGTTGTTCCAGATTACCCTTGCGGTAATTCTACAAATCGTTCTAGTATCGGGCAAGGCAATTCAACAAGATCAACAAACACAGCAAAAGTTGAAGCCGGGTTCTCAAACAAAAACAGCGCAGAAACGTGTAGGGTATGACTATCCTGCACCTTCCCAAGATCTTGTAAATCCATTCCAAGATCAAGATGATTACGCTCATGGGAATCACCACGATGTGATTGACCACGATCACCACGCTCACCACGACATCCATGGAGACATTGATGATCACCATGACCACTATGAACACCATGATCATCATGATATTCATACAGAAGAGCACCATGATGACCATCATGACCATCATGACCACCACGACCCAGGATACTGGAAAAAGAAGTTAATTTGGAAACCTGGATGGAAGAAAATTTGGAAGCCAGCTAAAAAACAAATTTGGAAGCCATCGTGGAAAAAAATTTGGAAACCGATTTGGGTGCCAACAAAAGTACCAGCTTGGAAAGAAATAAAAGTCCCAGATTGGAAAAAAGTATATAAACCAGAGTGGAAACCGATCAAAGTTCCAGCATGGAAAGAGGTGAAGGTACCTGATTGGAAAAAAATTACTGTTCCAGTGTACAAAGATATAGTTGTACCAGGGTGGAAAGATATTAAGGTTCCAGCATGGAAGAAAGTTTGGGTACCCAAATGGGTTAAAGTAGGTGTACCTGGAGAAAAATACTTAGGAAAAGATCATGATGGTTGGGAATATACGTCGCACGATCTTTGGAAGAAAAAACTTGTTTGGAAACCATTATGGCAGAAATATTGGAAGCCAAGCAAAAAACAAATATGGATTCCGGATAAAAAGTTAGTGTGGAAAGATGAATGGAAGCAAATATGGAGAACAGAAAAGAAACAAATTTGGGTCGATGATAAAAAGCTTGTATGGAAAGAAGCCTGGAAACAGATATGGAAGCCATCCAAAAAGCTAGTTTGGATTCCCGACAAAAAATTAGAATGGAAAGAGGCATGGAAACAAATTTGGATTCCAGATTGGAAGCAAATTTGGGTACCTGGAGTAAAAAAGATTTGGAAGCCAGTGTGGATCTCGGAGTGGTTCCCTTCTCCTGATCACCATGAACATGCACATGAATCTCACGGTTGGGATAAAAGTGACAATGTCACAGCTAATAGCCAAAAATCAGTCGCCCAAGTGCCAGCGCCACAGCAACAAAAACAAGCAACATGGCAGTTTCCTAAATAATTTTAAAAAATCATTATTCTAAAACATACAGTATTGTTTTGTGTAAATATGAGTCAAATATCGAGTCGTAATTGTTATCACTGTTATCGTCTCTTACTTGGTAGAGATATTTAAATCAATTTTTAAATATGCATCTGGATTATGCTATTTGGTTTTCAACAATCAACAATACCTAATAATTGAAATACCAAATGATATATAAAGATATGTTAGATAACTGACAATTTCACCAAACTGCTAAATTGAATTGGTGTTAATAGATAAACTCAATCTCAAGAGAATTGTTAGAAACTGTGGTGCCTAATCCAGGCCCTTATGTCGCTATCTGTGGAAACTTCACATCACGGCTGCACGCTTGGGTAGTTAATTCTCATTTACCTGTACACTTGGTACTTAACTACTTTTTATGCGAAGCGGAAATTGTTTTTTCTTTCTACACACTCCTTCATTACGACAATTTAAGTTTAAGTAATAGAAGAAAGCTTTAAAAATCAAAATCCCTATTACTTTCAACGATACGGATGAAATTATTTAGTGACCATAATTATATTAAGGCTGAAGATATGTGTGCTTGTGTATATAAGAAGTTTGCTCGTTCGTACAAACACTAGTACAATCTCTGTCCATACCCACTGATGCTATGTGTTTTGTTGATACTTGTATAAGTTTTATTTAGTTTTTAAGTTTTTAGTCATAACTCACGCGGAACCAATGAAATAAAAATTGTTAATTATTGAACTAATTGTGTAATTTTTGTTTTATTTAAACTTTCATTCAAAATCAAGCAATGACGAGGTGAAACGAACTGCATTTTATGATTTACTTAGTAATTTGTGGTATAAATTCCCGATATACAGCAGACTTAATTCAGATTTTTTATTAAACGAGTAGGTAATTTTTATACTTAAATAGGCTTTATTGAAAATAGACACATCTCAATTATAAGTAATAATGAAAAATGAAATTCGTACACCTACTCTTTAAAGATAGACTTATGCTCGATACTCCTACTAATAGTATTTTAGTTAGTTTATTATTATTTAATAGTGGATTATTTTACATACCAAGTGATTAATGCAGGGCATTATATTTAATCAGCTATTAGTAATATAAATAATACTATTATATATCGATTAAGTCATTTTATTATGGATCGTCTGAAACAAAAATATATGGCAGGTTCTTTTAATTTATGAGTGTTTTACTAGATACATTTAGAATTCTATATATTTAGAGTTACTAAAACTTGAAAATTGTTTTTTTAGAACTTTACATATAATACAGAACGTTCAAGTTAAAAATCAAATATTTTTCCCAAAAAATTAGAACAAGTCATCATATAAACACTAAAAAAAATCTGGACAGGACTACCTCGCTAAATATGTAGGCATAGAACAAGTGTGCAGAGCGCCAATAGTATTGGTCCATTAGATTCCGCAGGTATCTATCCACTTCAAAAAAATCAACCTCTGGGAAATACAATTTAAAGTTTGATTGTCGGAATCTTTGACATCACAAATGCTTACATTTATTTGTATTTACATAGATTCTTCAATCCCAGGTTCGTATATGGTAAGGTCTAAACTAATAATGTTTTTTGTTTTCGTTTAAGTTAAGGTCATATTATTTTAGAGCGATAAAAATTCTAACTACCGTTATTAAGGCATTTCTGTTATAATTCATAAATATAAAATCACTAATATGTAGACACAGGGTACGTGTTGGTAAAGTACCTTAACCTTATCTGAATTATATATATTCTTTATTGCACAGATAATACAAAGATATTATAATTTAAAGATAATGTGAGCAAAGGTGTATCGAGGCAGATTCAATATATACAAGTATGCATATATGTATATAAATATAACTTTTGAGTAGAAAAACAAACAGAGCGATAAAATAGCGCTGCTGATGCTCCACAGTGTCTTGCATTCGCCTTGCATTTCAGGAGCTTCAGATAAAAGCGCTATTTCTTTGGTAGTCCTAGTCTGATTGACTTGAAATTTTCAGAGAATATTTATGAAACTGTACCATATCGTGTCAAAAATTTTGAAAAAATCGACGAAAATGTTTTACAATACCTTATGAGGGGGAAAGGGGATGAGGCATTGGAATTTGTATATTTTTTTAAAGATTCTATAGCCATGTAGATTGTTGCTACTGTTAATACATCATAGGCACAGAAATATGAATTTAGTAATTTAAAGCCTTTTTTTTTTAATTAATGTACTCAAATATCTGTTTTTCTTTTATAATTGGAATGTCATACATGCTGCTGATTGAGGCGACGGTATATAGCAGGTTGTAGAAGCTGGTAATCATGAACAGCACCAAGATATAAGGTTATTATGCGACGCCCGCGATTCTATTCATTCGTGGGGAAGGGAACTTGCTAGTAGTGTGGACAAATCCTATTGTTAGCAGTAAGTACGACGTTAGGATGACTTCTACTGATCTGACCTATTATCATTGCCCACTGATACCTCGCAAGATGTGTATTTGAACTTATAACAACCTTATTACGTCTAAAACCATAATATAATTACAATATGGCCATCCACTCAAACCAAAATACCGTTTACTCAACCAATTAAATATGAATAATTTAATTATACACGTAACAGCTGAATAGAACAGGCTGCAAATTAGTGGTAGTGACAATAAAGAAAAACCTTCATATTATTATCAGAAGACGAATAAATATGTAGTTCATTAGTGTTTATTTGTGACCTGAACAATTAATTTTTAATTATAGAAAAACTTTGAAATAAAAAGGATTAAACAGCTATTATTAGAGCTAGACTCATTAATTGTTAACCTTTTCCTAGTTAAAACACATCGGTAATCTGATACTAATATTTATTAATATTTTTTTTTTCTATAAAACTTTTGGTACAGTAATTTATTTTCAGAAGTAGAGAAAAAAAATTTGATTTATCGGTCCTTATAAATTTGATCTCAACATCATCCCGATTTTATTCAAATGTGAAAGTTCCGTTTTGTTACATCAATGCCATCTCTCGGTGGTTACATAAATCAGCAAACTCTTGATAACTTGAACTAAAAGTTAATGTAATAAAACGTTTAAAAGGTTACAATGTTATTCATAGAGGGAGATAGCGTCTAAAAGTTCTGTTTATTAATTACTTTAAAATATAATGTATATAATAATTAAAATAAATGTATTGAGTAGTATAGTAGATTTATTTTGACATGTGTTGAGAAATATTTATTAATGCATGATACTCTTAATATAAGATTAGTACACTAACTATCTCACTGTATAATCATCATTTGAGACCTATTTAATTTTGAAGCAATAATTTTAACGTGGTTTTTTAAATATTTTTTTAATTCGCGTATCAATATGAACCCGCCCAATATTAGTCAATTACCTATGTTAAAGACTCTGAAAATGCTTTGATAGGCACAATTGACCTACATACCTCAGAAAAATATTTATCTCATTGTGAATCTTGAGTTTTATTATGTACTAGATTGGTGTTTCCAGCCTACGCTGACAGGATACGTTGACAAGGTACTAATGAAAGATAATAGGATGTGTATAAAATGAGCCAACTGGTCTGACTTCATCTTCATCCTTTATCCACTATTGCCCTATAAATTTAACGCAGGCGGGAACACCGTTTAATGCATTCATAAAAATTAAACCGCAATTGTGTTACTTTTTTAGAAATAGGTATATAAATAATGTAGTCACACAACATATACATGTATAGCCGTGTAACTTGACTTTACAGTCGTTGAGAATTATATCAGAGTCTAGATTATGCCATGTTTTTCAGTTTTGATTTGGCTCTATATTGTCAGAGATAATAAAATTATTCATGTCAATAGTATACAATAACAGAAGTTATAAGAATCTAGTTACCGGTGCCGGCTTCGCTAAGAATTTTTTGTGGGTTTGTAGTTGCCAATATTATGTAATGTTTTGTTCTCTGTGCGAATACAATGGCCAATATAATCAATGCCAATTTAGAATAAATATATGATAATGGAATAGTGCACCCGCCTACACCAACGGATTACGCTGGCTGGGCAATATAAGGTGAGGTCAGTTAGATCAGCGTGAGATCACTAGGAATTTATCATGGCGGTTTCCCGGAGACTGTGTGGAGGATAATCTGACATGGTACATTGCAAGCAGATCAAATTATTAACTACCCTCATTCCCGCAAGTACACTTTGCAAACAGTAAAAGAATTATAGAAATTCTTTCACTGTTTCCAAGTCTACTTTCCCCATAACATGTTACAATAAGTATGGACTAGATCATTATATAGCTATGTCAAAGAATATTCATTTTTGTAGGCAGATTGTCTCCTTTTGTTGCCAGACGCCGATTCACCATATATGTACCTCTTAAACTCTGCTATTGCTAATGGCTTTATGCTCCTCGTCTGCAAGAGACGTTAAATGCGCTAAACATCAGTCCACCATACGATCTAACGCAATTGTAGGTTAGGTGGTACCGCAGTTACGACACTGTCCATTGTTCTTTGAATGCGTTCATTGAAACCAATTTTCGAGACTTTTACTTACTTGAGCAAGTCTCGGGATGTAGCAGATTTTGTAAATGGGCATTTTAAAAACAAAGTCTGAGTTTTGTCTTGTTTCTAAAACAAGAATCTTGTGTACATTATTCTATATGTTTCTGAAAGCTTGATACATATATAAGGTCTGAGAGGATACGAAATTTTACTCTAAAAAAGTTATTAATAAAATATATTCACGGATTATGGACATCTCGATTTTGCCTTCATGTTTATATACATATATTGGCGATGGTTGCCATTCTCAAACAGACTATTAACTTGTTCAGTATTCAAGTAACGTATTATAAATAAAATTATAACACAGACAATAGGCAGACTTGACAATGGAAAGTGCCTGTGGAATCTATAACTCATTTGTTATCATTATTATATATAAAAAAAATCGAAATTTATACTTTCACTGATTATATTGATTTCCTATGTACATAGAAATAAGTCAATTGATTATGTATGTAATATTAGTTTAACAAGTAATTAATTCAATTTTTATTAAAATAATAAGTATTCGTCTATATAACCACTACTATGTTCATTATAAACACGTAATTTTGTAGTAAACATTAGTTAAAGGAGAAGAGAAGTTAACGCCTATAATGATGTCCATACTTTGAAAATATGTAATGATAATCATAATTGCTAATACTAAAAATACAGGTACAAGTAGTTTGAAATTTTATTAACCACACTTGTAGATATCCACAATATTGACGTTTTAATGTGTCTTAATAATATTAATACACAAAAAAGGTATCATTTTCTATTCCAACTTATCTCACTTTTAGATAGATATAATAATTGTTTCATGTCTGATTATCACCAAAAAATAATGTGGCAAGTTAAATTACTGACTCGTTATTATAACTCCGGTGGTGGAATGACCGATAACAAACCAAATTAAATCTAGAAATACAAATTAGGTTTGCAATTAGGTTCGGGGGACGAATAATACATCATTTTTGGTGAGGTTTAAATTTGAACTATATTTTTATAAAAGAATTATATAGATTGAATTTAACGTAATTTATTTAAATATATATACCTACATAACTTAATTATACAACAAAAAATCTTAGGAAAAGAAAGAAGAAAAAATAATAAGCTAGTAACTTCGGAACCTCG